TGACTAATAAGATGAGAGAGAGATGATAGATATAGATAGATGATAGATACATGAGAGATTATAGATAGATGATAAATAGAAGATACATGAGAGAGATTATAGATAGATGATAGAAAGATAGATAGATAGATAGATAGATAGATAGATAGATAGATAGATAGACAGACAGAGACAGATGGATGATAGATAATAGATGAGAGAGATGATATAGATAGATAGATAGATGAGAGATTATAGATAGATGATAGAAGATAGATAGATAATAGATAGATGATAGATAGACAGACAGACAGACAGACAGACAGACAGACAGACAGATAGATAGATAGATAGATAGATATAGATGGATAGATGATAGATAGATAGATAGATAGATAGATAGATAGATAGATAGATAGATAGATAACCAGATTATTTGGGATCACAGTTGCCAACTGTCTGCCTGTATGTTTGCATGAGTGCGTGCTGGCAGTGGGGAAACATCTGTCCGTGTGCCGGTGTATCAGGATTGTACTGTATTTCTTGATTGTCTTTGACAATCAAAAATGTCTGAGAAGGAGAGGCATCGTCCTCCCATTGCTGAGCGCATGGCTTCTATTCCCCCCCCCCCAGACTTCTGGATACCTTCGATGCGGTGCCGGGCCACCTGACCGAAGACCTTCACCTTTATTCCTTAAACGATCTAAGCGCCATCAAGAAGGGGGAGCTTGTACCCCGCTTGACCGAGCTCCTCCGGGCGGGAGAGCTGCACGTTGAGAAATGCATGGTGAGTGCGTGGAGCCGATTTCCTTCCTTCCTTCTAATGCCACCCTATAAAGCCTTAGTAAGGCCACACCTAGAATCCTGCATCCAGTTTTGGTCACCACACTATAAAAAAAAGAGGTTGAGACTCTAGAAAAAGTGCAGAGAAGAGCAACCAGGAGGATTAGGGGACTGGAGGCTAAAACCAATGAAGAAGTTGCAGGAACTGGGCCTGGCTAGTCTAGGGAAGAGAAGGACCAGGGGAGACAGGAGAGCATCTTCCAGTATTTGAGGGGCTGCCCCAGAGAGGAGGAGGAGGGGGGTCAAGCTATTCTCCAAGGCACCCGAAGGCCAGACAAGGAATCGTGGATGGAAACAACAAGGAGAGATTTAACCTGGAAATAAGGAGAAAATTTCTGACAGTGAGAACAATCAACCCATGGAACAGAAGTTGCCCTCGGAAGTTGTGGGAGCTTCATCCCTGGAGGCTTTCAAGAAGAGACTGGACTGCCATCTGTCAGAAATGATGTGGTCTCCTCCTTGGGCAGGGGGGGTTGGACTAGATGACCTACAAGGTCCTTTTTCAACTTTGCTAATCAGCAGAGCAAAAGGATCTTACACCGGGACAGATCACGATTGGTCCATGTGATACGATGATGGGAGAAAAGGGGAGGGATTGTAGTTTGGGACATTGTGGGAAGTCCGGGGAAAGTTTTAGTTTCGAGATTCCACAGATGTGCCAGGTGCTATTCTAATAAAGGTACTTTTGAGAGGATGCTTGTCTCGGAGTTACTGACCGGAATGGAGGTTTGCTGGAACGCTGACACAAAGTGGTTCAATCTTGACAGTCCGTGTTTTTTGTTTTTTTTTCTCGCCCAGCTGTGCCAAGCGAAGGGGTTCATCTGCGAATTCTGCCAGAATGAAGACGACATCCTGTTTCCCTTCCAGCTGAACAAATGCAAGACCTGCGAAGGTGAGCCATCAAGCGGGAGAGCTAATCCCCTAGCAACGTTTACGTTTAAGTTGTAAGTTCGTTCGGGGGCCAAAGAAAGACCCCCACACATCCCGGCATTGTTTCGCACTGCGTCCAGCCAGAAGGACACAACAACAACCCTCAGTTGTTGGCTTCAACACAGCTCTCCGATTTTCCAGCCCTGTTACAATTTCTCCATAGATCGGTCCCAGCCGAGCTCTCTTCAGTGTAGCATATTTAGGTAGTCCTTGGCTTACGACCACAATTGAGCCCAGAATTTATGGTGCTGAGTTTTGTCCCATTGTACGGCTTTTCTCGCCACATTTGTGAAGTGAATCACACTGCAGTTCTTAAATTAGTAACACCGTTGTTAAGTGAATCTGACTTCCCCATTAACTTCTCTAAGGGGGGATGAGGTGGACCAACGGTTGCTTTCGTGGTGTGGAGGCAATAATTTGGTCCTCAACACCAATAAGTCCAAGGAGCTGATAGTGGACTATATAGAAGGAACAGATCAGACCTCCAGCCCTTGTTTATCCATGGAGACCGAGGGGAGCAAGTGGCCAGTTTTAAGTTTCTGGGTGTCACCATCATAAAAGAGGACCTGACCTGGGGGGGCTCACATTGTAGCCCTGGTCAAAAGGGCCCAGCAGAGATTCTACTACCTGAGGCTTCTCAGGAAACAAACAACTGGATGGAAAACTGCTGGTGACCTTCTACCGCTGCACCCTAGAGAGTATCTTAATTTACTGCACCTCTGTATGGTTTGCCAATTGCACAGAGGCAGATAGGACAGCACTCCAGAGGGTGAACGTCATTGCCCAGAGGATCCTGGGTTGCCCTCTCCCCTGTTTGGAAGAGCTTTATAGCTCCCTCTGCCTTAAGAAAGTCCAAAACATCCTCAAAGATCCATCTCATCCTGGGAACACTTTTTTTGAACTATTACCATCTAGCAGACGGTACAGGACAATAATAAAAACAAGGACAAATAGGCTGAAAAACAGCTTCTATCCCAGGGCAGGAGCTCTGTTGAATTCTGCCGTATAGGGCAGTGTTGATGTGGTGTCAGGAGTCTTCAATTCAATATTTGGAATGTGTAGAATGTGTGTTTATGTTTATTTTCATAGTCATGATGTGCACTGAAGATGGTGTTTGATTTCGTTGTACGAGGTGCAATGACCATAAAGTAAACTAAACTTTGCTTGCCAGAATGTCGCAAAAGGGGATTGTGTGACCCCGGGATACGGCAACCGTTGTAAATATGAAGCAGTTGCAGGGTGGAGCTGCCCTACTACTTACCTTTGGACAGTTGTAGCCAAGTCTCGCACACCCCGACACCTGCCTTGCTGGCCCATTTGTTCGGCAGCTGGCAAGGCTGACAAGACTTTCCTGAAGGCCTCTGGAGCTGAGAGCAAAGCTCAGGATCGATCCAGAGCTCTGTTACCGGCTGCAGAGGCCTTCAGGAAAGCCTTGCCGGCTGTAGAATTAATTCTTGAAGGCCTCTGACAGCGAAAAGGAGGCCATGGGTGACTCATACAAATGAGGTTAGTCAGTGGATGACTTCCCCCACAAATAAGACCTGGTGCCTTTTTTTTGATGGCAAAAAAAAAAATTAAGACAGTGTCTTATTTTTGGAGAAACACAATATGTTTTGTATTTTACCCGTGTAAAATATGAATGTGAATGTGATGACCCGGGTCGTGGCACAAAAATAACAAAGTCACCAAAGTAGATAAATTCCCTTTAATGCCTCCAACTTGGCCCCCGACGTCCAGTTATCCTTGGCGGGAGATCAAACTCCTCCAAAAACAGTCTACGAAGGGAAGAAATGCAGTCCGAACCCAAAGTAAAGATAATTAGAAATTAAAAAAAACAACACAAAAACCACGCTGAAGTAATTAACACGACAGACCAGGATAATAACTTGCAGACTTCCAAAAGATAGCTAAGTACACACACAGTTGGAAGGACGCCAAAGCCCAAATAAGCCTCGCTTTGTTTCCAGCAACTTTGCCATGCACAGTTTGCCCTTTTAAACAGTCCTCCCAGCTGCAGCCCATGAAGGGGATCAGGGCCCTTTCCTCCCCAGTAAGCCACGTTGCTCCCTCCTCCGTTCCTCCCTGCGTGCCCTAGGATGAAGAGGGGGTGGCCCTGGGTCTTTCTCTGAATGCCCAGCCAGACTGTGCCCTTCCCCCGTTTCCTCCACAGCCACCGGAGCCACACTCCCACTCCCCGTCAGCTGCTCAATCTCCCCCTCCGAACTGGACTCCAACAAGGGCATGACAGTGAACGCGGATTGTTTGAGACTTCTTGCCCCTCCATGCCTTTTTCGGCTCCTCTTAATTCCTCCTTTTTCTCTCTTCCCACAGAGTGCCGAGCTTGCTACCACAAGGGCTGCTTCCGGTCGGGACCCTGCCCCAAGTGCGCCCGCTTGCAAGCTCGCCGGGAGCTCCTGGCCAAGCAGAGCCTGGAAGCCGACCTGTCCGACTACGAACCGGAGGAGGAGGAGGAGACGGTCGGGGCAGCCACGTGACAGCCAAGAAGCTGCGGGGGTCGCCGTGCCAGCCTGCGCTTCCAAAGACTGAACTGACCAGCCACAGAGCTGGACGCTCTTCCCAACGCTCCGAAGCTCAAGCCACGGAAGGCCTTTTGGCCTGCGGAAAGGGACGTTGCTTTCTCTCCTCCTGCTGGACTCGAGTGAACGAGCTTTGGCTCCTGTGAACCAACTCAGATGCCCAACGAAGGGGGAATTTTCCTTTCTACGGAAAGCCAGTATAGGGTATATGCCTGCAAGGACTTTGCTCCATCCACAGGGGAGAAGCCGAGGATGGGCTTTCTGGAGGCTGAATTCCCCAACAGGATCCGGCCACACGCGTAAAAGGGAAGGAAAAACCCCCAACCCTCCTGCCTTGGTTGACTTGCCGTATCGGTTGCTGTGTGCCGGATAAGGCCGTTGTTTTGTTTTGTTTTTGTCTTTTTAATTTTTTCTTCATTTCCCGAATCCTCGCCTCAAATTCTCTATTATTATTATTTTTTTCCCTTTGCTAAATTTCATTCTTGCTTCATCTGAAGAGCCAGAAAGGGAGAACAAAGTCTTAAAAACCTCTCCTTTTAAATCTCGGGACAATGTTAGTGGGGAAACGGGAGCGGATAACCAGAATGGCACACCTGGATTTTGGGGTGTGTGTGTGTGTGTGTGTGTGTGTGTGTGCTGCAGGAGTCTGAGAGGACCACAGCCCCTTAAAAAAGGATCCGTGCGTGAGAGCGCGCACACATACGCATACACACAAACTCACACTTTCCCCCCTGTTTGTCTGAATGGTCTTTAAGAGGAATAATGTCGGTTGACCTAGATCAAGGGTCTCCCAACCTTGGCCACTTTAAGACTTGTGGACTTCAACTCCCAGAATTCCTCAGCCAGCTTTGCTGGCTGAGGAATTCTGGGAGTTGAAGTCCACAAGTCTTAAAGTGGCCAAGGTTGGACACCCCTGACCTAGATCAAGGGTCTCCAACCTTGGCCACTTTAAGCCTAGCGGACTTCCAACTCCCAGAATTCCCCAGCCAGCCATGTCTGTTTCTTTTTTTTACTCTTACCAGCTAAAGTGGAGAGAGGTTGCAAAGGAAGGGATGACAAGAGAGTAAGTAAGCTATGCTGGCCGGGGAGAATTCTGGGAGTTGGAAGTCCACACACGTCTTAAAAAACAGAAGGTCTCCAAACCTGGCCACTTTGAGACTTGTAGACTTCAACTCCCAGAATTCCCCAGGAGAGATTGCAGAGGAAGGGATGACAAGATGACAAGCTCTGCTGGCTGGGGAATTCTGGGAGTTGACGTCCGCCAGGCTTCAAGTGGCCAAGGTTGGAGACCCTGGGACTAGATGATGTTCTGAGGGAGAGAAAAATTTGTATTTTTCCCCCCCCTAAGAGGCGGAAACTGTCTTTGCAATAGCCACTGGATCCGGGGTGTTGGAGCCTCCCCCCCCAAAGCTGGAGGAAGCGGGGCAGGCTCAGAGGCCTGCTCCTGGCAGCAGAGAAAGAAGGGGTTCCGGATAACTGGTAGATGTGTCTTGGGTTCTAATGCTGCTCTACCTTCCCTGATATCTGGTTTTGAGCTACTTGGCCAAAGTAAGTCAGGAAGTGAGGTGAGAGGAGGTCGTCCATCGTTTGGAGGTTGCTGGCTGGCTAGGTGAGGTTTCTCGCAGGTTGCACGGCCATTCCTAAGTCACTCTGTCAAAGCTGGGAAACCATGATAGTTCCAATCTCACTTGAGGACAGAATTTTAAGATAGTTGCAGAAAGCCGGTTAAGAAGGCCGATCTATGGAGAGGATCTTCTTGCCCAGATTTACAGGACTCCTCCAAGGGGCGTGGTTTTATTTGACTTAAGCCAGGGGTCTTTCAAACTTGGCAGCTTTTAAGACTTGTGGACTTCAACTCCCAGAATTCCTCCTCCGTTTCATGTTAGCTGAGGAATTCTGGGAGCTGGAAGTCCAACAAGCCTTTAAAGTTGCCAAGTTGGAAGACCCTTGACTTAAAAGGTTGCTCATCCATCTTATGAGCCAGGGGTCCCCAAACTTGGCAACTTTTTAAGACCTGTGGACTTCAACTCCCAGAATTCTCCCCAGCCAGCACAGCTTACTCTCTTTTAATCCCTTCCTCTGCAGTCTCTCCACTTTAGCTGGTAAGAGAAAAAGAAACAGACACGGCTGGCTGGGGGATTCTGGGGGTTGAAGTCCACAAAGTCTTAAAGGCACCAAGTTTGGACACCTCTCTTATGAGCTCTCACCTAAGCTGCAGAGCATTTTGGGAGTCTCTGCTTTCCCCTTTCTCTTAAAAACCACAGTTTTTCAACCTTCGGGGTAACTCGAAGATGAGTAGACTTCAACTCCCAGAATTCTCATGGCTAGCTGGGGGGATTCTGGGCGTCGAAGTCCACAAGTCTTAAAGGTGCAAAGTTTGGAGTTTTAAGAGTGAAAGGCAGCCAGGGGAGACCTGAAAAATTAGAATTGCATCATTTAAAAAAAAAAATCACGACATGGATGGATCCAAACATGCCAAGGCATTGCTGAAGAAGGAAAGGCCATTTTCTTTAATCCCAGGATCGTATGTTTTATGGCTGCTTTCTTCTAAGACAGGAGTCCCCAAACTTGGCAACTTTAAGACATCAACTCCCAGAAACCCCCAGCCAACTCTCCATTCTGAGAGTTGGAAGGCCGCCTGTCTCCCAGCGGCTATGGTTGAGAAACACCGTTCTAGAACCCAGAACAGCCGGAGATCCAAAATTGAAAAACAAATCGAAATTGCAAGGCAATTGATCTCTTCTCCGCTCAACATCCATTCTGGTGAAACCTCCCTCGCCTCCCTTAATCAAATCTTCTAACTAAATTTATGCACAATTTCTTCCTGGCAATGTCCTCGTTCTTAGCTTTGTCGCACCAATTTAAACCCCCCACCCAACGTTGTTAATCTGAATTGTTTTAACCGAGGGGGTCCTTATCTCGCCCCCGATAATTATATTTATATTAAATATATTTATGTTTGCCCTTGGCCCCGTCCACACCCTTTAAAAAAAAAAAAAAATCTGGCTCCCTGCACACTTATTTTTTTTAACACACTTAAAGGGGGAAAAAATTCAAAAATGCACCCTGGGTGTTTTTTTTTTTTTTTTTTTTTAAGCAGGTTCCTCCCGCCGCGTTGCTTCAAGCAAATGTTTGAAGATGTCGGGAGAACATTTGTTTCTCTTTTGCTAATTTTCTACTAAGCACTGATTCAAGTTTTACAAAAACCAGCAAGGAGACAGTAGGTCCTAAAGGATTCGCTTTAGAAATAGCGCCCCCCCAAAAAAAGATGCACAGAAAGGGAGATTTGGGATGCTAAATGGTGCTCACAGGTGCTGGAGTTATGGATTTAATGCCCATTTGGCAAAAGAAAAAAAGAGAAAATATTTCTTGTCTGTGTTGACGTGAATGTTGTTTGTTAAAAGAGAAAAAAAAAAAGAAGAGCACACTGGTTCAACCTGGAAATCCATCCATTATTCCAGTAAAGTATAACCATGGAAAAGTCGTCCCTAATAAAACAATAATAAGCAGCAGCCTGCGTCTCTTGTGTGTTTACGGTCGGTGGAGCGTTTCACAACTGAAATACTTTTATTTAAACAGTACAATAAAGGTAAAAAGGTTCCCCTCACACATCCGTGCTAGTCGTTTCCAGCTCTAGGGGACAGTGCTCCCCTCCGTTGCAAAGCCGAAGAGCCAGCGCTGTCCGAAGACGTCTCCGTGGTCCTATGGCCGGCATGACTAAACACCCGAAGGCGCACAGAACGCTGTTTCCTTCCCACCAAAGTGGAGCCTATTTTTCTACTTGCATTTTTGTTTTAACATGTTTTCAAACTGCTGGGTTGGCAGAAGCTGGGACAAGGAACAGGAGCTCACTCCATGACGCGGCGCTAGGGATTCGAACCGCCGAACCACCGACCTTTCTGGTCAACGAGCTCAGCGTCTTAGCCCCTGAGCCACCGTGTCCTTTTCTTCTCTTGTAATCCCTTCCTCTGCAATCTTTCCATTTTAAGGGGTAAGAAAAAGAAACAGGCATGGCTGGGCTGCGGCGTTCTGGGGGTTGAAGTCCGCAAGTCTTAAAGTTGCACAAAGATGGACACTTTTGGTGTAGACCCTAAAGGTAAGGTAAAGGTGCCCCTTGCGCCTCTTTTCCGGCTCTAGGGGGCGGTGCTCATCTCCGATACAAAGCCGAAGAAGAGCCAGCGCTGTCCGAAGACGTCTCCGTGGTCCTGTGGCCGGCAGGACTAAACATCTTCGAAGACACACAGAAGGCTGTTCACTTCCCACCAAAGATGGTTCCTATTTTCCTACTTGCATTTTTTTTACATGCTTTCGAACTGCTAAGTTGACAGAAGCTGGGACAAGTCACGGGAGCTCACTCCATCACGTGGCGCTAGGGATTCGAACCGCCGAACTGCCAACCTTTCGGATCGACAAGCTCGGCCTCTTCGCCACCGAGCCAAATTCAAGGAAAATGCTGGATGGGATGGTATATCTGCGCCAGTCCCTCCCAAAACGGTTATAGGTAATCCTTGACTTACAACAGTTCGTTTAGTTGACCGAAGTTACGACTGCACTGGAAGTTACAACAGCACTTACGACCGTTTTTTTTTTCCCCACCGAGGACTCTTGCTCCATGGTCCCGTGATCAAAATTCAGAGGCTTGGTAACTGGTTCATATTTACGACGGTTGCAGTGTCCCCCTCCTGGATCATGTGTTCCCATTTTGTGACCGGACAAGCAAAGTCAACGGGGAAGCCAGATCCACTTAACCGAGTTACTACTTTAACAACCTTGCGGTGATTCATTTTAAGAAACGTGGCAAGAAAAGCTGTGAAATGGGACAAAACTCACTTCAATTCAAATGTCTCACTTAGCAACACATATTCTGGTCGTAAGTCGAGGACTTAACATGTATTCGGCCATTTCTTCTCCGCCTTGCACCCCCTGTTTATGGAGAAGTTTCCCCAAGAAAGGTTATATTCACTAAATCTTATAGAAGAGAAATATCTGTAGCTCAGGGTTGAACTGTGGAGTCCTTGATGTTCTCTGAACTGGGTGGTTTTCTTGCAGACATTTCATGACCCAACTAGCTAACATCATCAGAAGTAGGAGGGAGTGGAGTCTGCAGAGAAGAAGAAGGGGTGTGGGGCCTGTCAACTATAAAACATGTATACAAAATGAATAACTGCCGGAACCCTGACAGGGGCTTAGCGCTCTTGGAGATTGCGGAGTCCTTGGTGCTTTCTGAACTTGGCTGATGATTGGCCCAAAGTCACCCAGCTGGCTTTCATGCCTAAGACAGGACTAGAACTCACCATCTCCTGGTAATTGGTCCAAAGTCACCCAGCTCCTCTCATGCCTAAGACAGGACTAGAACTCACCGTCTCCTGGTAATTGGCCCAAAGTCACCCAGGTGGCCTTCATGCCTA